CTTCTTGTTTTAAATATAGTCAAGAATTTTGGAAATCCACTGTTGTTTGTCAATATTGATATCTTTAAACTACAATTTATGACAATGGATTATTATAAACATTTTTTTTTAAATAACTGTTTTCGCAATGTAGAAAAGAATATTTCTCAACATAGCATATAAATGTTCTAAAACAAAATTACGATTTTCTTTTTGGAAAAAAAATCATTTCTAGTAGAAATTGTTAAATTTATGTTTATAATAAAAAAAAATAAATAACTATCTTTATGCTAGAGATATTTTTAAAGTTTTGATTTCTTATTAAATCTTAATATTGTATTTAAAAAAATACATTCGAAATTACATTGCATCCATTGAAGTACATAATTAAATATCGTTTTAAAGCTGTCCACTTATGAAAATGTTTGGGGCAGCACATCATTCACCATCATAATTTATTGGTACTTAAATATAAACCTCATTCACTGAAGAATTTGATTATATAAAAATCAAGTGAGTTCATTAATGAAAACGAGCAGAGAGCTGTACACATACAGCAATAAAAAATATCAACTTTCAAAATCGGCAGAATGAGAACTTTGTTATAAAAATTATAAGTAATCTATACAAACTAAGCTAGTACGATTTATATCAAATCTAAAAATTAAAAATAATGAACTTACCTTCCGTATAAGATATGAGAGCTCCGATTAATAAAATACCAAAGATCTTTTCTATTCTATTCATGGCTTCCTCGAGGGAGAGTTCACCAAACAAGATTCAAAATGTCCGTTTTATTTATATTCTTGTAAATTTCGCTACAGCTGATAAGATTTCAATCAACAAGTTGATCAGATTTCAATTTTTCTCCTCCAATCAGATGGCTACCAAGAATTACTGCACAAAATCAGTATACATTTTGATAAAATTCCCTTTTTTCTTCTGTATGTAGACAGTGACTCAGTGCAGACAAAAATTGAGGATTTTGAAACGTCTTAAATTTTTAAACTCTTGCAGATATTGCAATGAACTTAACATCAAAGAGCAAAGAACGACAGTAAATTTTTTAAAAAATAATAAATTTTAGTGTCAGAATAGAAATGAATCTAAAATATAAAAGGGTCAAAGTTCAGCATTCGATTTTTTTTCTTTGTTTTTGACGAATTATCCTGGCGAATTTTTGGCGAGTAAACTGTAAATACTTTTTTATTAAATTACCAATTAGTATTACACAACATTGGAAAATAGATCAAATAAAAAATCAAATCTGGGCAGATAAATAAAATCTTTTTCATAAAAGTCTATTTTCTAAAATGAATTCTATCAGTTGAAAAGCCTGTTGCAAAACGTAAAAGTCAAATGATATAAAGTGTTTAGTGTTTGGAAATCACTATGCCTGGACGAGGTGAAGATAGGAGCTCCATATTCCAGTAAATTATAAATTGTGGTATTTGTTATTTGAATTAAATTCTAGGACCGACAACCCCAGGAATTAGCAGCAATTGCTTTAAGAGCATTCAACTTTTAATTACTTTCTTTTTAAGATACAGAAAACGTTGTTTGAAAGAGAGATTTTGAGAGAAGATGATGTCTAGAATACGGGTATGTTGCTTCCAAGCAATATGAATGTTGTAAATTTGCAAATGCAAATGCTATTGTTTTTATTGGAAAAATTCTCCATTTCTGCACTTTTAAGGTTGAAGGGTGAATTTTCATGTTTCGCATCATTGAGTGCTTTTATGAAGGGTTATTTGAAGATTATTAAGTATTTTGCTCCAGAGATTTATTATGCAAAAGAAAAATATCTGCATATAATAAGCATTCCGTATGATCAGTGATGATCTGAAAATATCTCTCATATAGATTGTAAAGAGAAAAGCACTAAGAACACTCCCCTGCTGTACGCCATGAGTGAAAAATAATTTCATAGATTCAGAGTTACTCCATTTAACATAATTCCTATTATTAAAGAAATTATTAATCCCTCTTGCAGCAGTACCCTTTATGCCGACTTGTAAGATTTTTATAATTAAGTCCATCTCTTCAAACTGAGTCATAAGCAGATGAAAAGTCTAATTTAAGAAAAATAAAAATTATTGGCATTTTTTGCTTCAACTATTTTGTTATGTAGGAGTGATAATGAATACATGCAATCATGAAAGGAATAAATCAGAATGATTAAGATGGAATTTGTCATGAAGTAGTAGATGGGATTAATTTGTTTTGTCGGGTGATACTCATATAGTCAATATATTTCAAAGTAGTTACTTTTGATGATATATGTTTTCTTTTTGAACTCTGGGGGTGTGCTTTTGGAATCACACCATTTGGAGCCTCGAATACAATAAGAAAGGAAATAGCGCCGTTTTCATACGCAATTTGTAATTTTGAAATTATATCCCGATGAGAAATGAAAGTAAGATCTCCTTCCGAGGTATATTCCATGAGATTAGGATTTAAATTATTATCTGCCATGTCAAAACTCTAAGCTCGCCCACCAAAGGGAATTGGGTTTCATTAAGTCGTTAACAAAAGAGTCATCAACATTAAGTCGTAAACAAATCCCACAAAAAATGCAAATAAATACAGGTGACTTACCTGAATGGAAATCAAAATAAAAAGGAAATATATTCTATATTACCAGAAAAATCTAACATAAAACAAGGAGGTAATTATCACAAAGTTCTACTCTAAATGTAAACAATAGATTCCCTGAAACGAGTTTGGTTCCATTTCCCTTTGTTAATAAAGTAAGTCAATGACGTATATAGGGTTGCTAAGTTTACGATGCCCAAAGCAGCGTTTGAATGGAAGCTTCTCTTGTAATTTGTTCTCTTGGTACTATATTCAATTTTGGCAAGCTTTTGTTTAGAAAAAAATATCTTTGAAGATTGCAAAAAAAAAATTATACGAACAATTCTAATTATGGATTCAAATAAGAACAGAAATATGAAATTCTTCTTTTTAAGAATATTTATGGTTATTCTTATCGCTATAAATAAATCTAAATTATCTGAAGAATTATTTTCAATAAGAAAAAACATAAGAACACATTTTTTTAGATTTTAGATATTATCTGGCATTGCGAGCTATAATAAACATTATAAGACATTTAATTTGTTAAGTTGTGCTGAAAAAGAAAAACAAAGGATTATTTCAAATTATCGTTCCACAAAATTAAAAAAAAGGCAGCATATAATATATAAATTCTACACACGTGTTTACGCACTTTTTTTCACTGCAAATCAGCGACCATTTTATTCCAGTATATAAGAGTAGTCCATCCACGAATAATAAGTTAGTTTATAAAATAAAAGTAAATGTAAAAGTAATTCTCAGTAAAATGGTTAATAATAAAAAAATTAAAGAAATTTTTTTTATTAAGTATTAAAAATTGTAATCCTCTAAAAATTTATTATAATCAAGTGATAAATAATATAAAAATATAATCAAGTGATCTTTTACAGGATTTGAACTATAACAATTTGAGTAAAATAGACAATATACATACATATATATATTTATTTAGGTTTATAATAAAATGTATGCCATTGGAAATTTGAAAGAGAAGAATTTTCTTTTACTTCTGGCCATTAATGCAACATTTTATAATGGTTACTTAAAATTTCACCATAAAACTTTTACAATAAAAACTTCATATTATGCATATATACATCCAATGATAAAGATGAACGACTTGCATTAAAAACTAAAATTCAGTAAAGGATGTATTACTTGTCTTGACATTTTTTTTTTCTTCCATTTGACATTTCCTTCCATTCCTTTCTACAAATTTATCTAAAGGTGCAACCCATGATATCTATACAAATTTAGGACGTTACAATTATTTTATTTTTAATAAGTATTTTTTTTTAATTCTTCGATTTCGTGGACAACTTGTTTCGCTCCTATTAATGTGTATAAATAATCTGCGTTCTTCTTTTTGATCTACAAACGCAATGCCCTTTTGATATTTGTGTTTTTTCAATTTCGTAAATGCAGGTTATGAACATTCATGCACAATTTCTTTCTATCTTTTCAGGTTTTTGAGAGCCCTAAATATGAAGCATCATATAATGTTTCAATTTTAAGCCCGTTATCATGGTTTTGTTTGACGGTGTTTCTACGATGCACATGATAAATTACGTGTAGCGAAGACCGCTGTTGCTTTTTTGGTATGCAAAATTGATCATGTTCCTAGTTCATATCTTGTTATTTATCCTTTGATCTCAATTTATATGTTATGTTCTTTATATATAAAGAACACAACTTATATATATATACATATATATATCCTTCAATATACTCATCTATAGGAGATCACTAAAAGTTTCAATAAATATATTTGTTCTATGCTAATAAATTTGTCTTATAGTGACACTTCCAAAATCTCTATAATGCTTTACAGAGTATTTTGAAGTCTCAATAATTATATATAGTAATATGCTTGCATTTTAATGTATTATAATAATATTCTTTTCATTAAAAAAATGGAACAACCTTGAGTATTTGTTTTTAAAAAAATATTAACAGGAAATATTTTTCAGTACCTTTTACTATATATTTTAATATTGTTTTAACTTTTATTATAAAACTAATTAACTTCTTATATTTTTTAATTCTTATTTATTTTGAATTAAAAATGGCGAACTTCCGTTATACCCTTTCTCTCTCATTTAAATTTATTCGTTCCCTTGTACCAAACACGTGTGAGAGTTAAGAAAATTGTGAACTCAACCGTAAATCGTACCTTATTGTATCTTATTTAGATAATTTAAAATCTGTATAATAATATTAATATTAATAATATATAATAGTTAACAGATATATATTTAGATATTATTGTACATAATTGTTTCAGAGGGCACTCAACATAATTAATTAAAATTAACGTCATTTTAAACAATCATTTTCGTTATCTTAATACTTATTCCATGGTCGATAAATGTGGAGGTAATATAATCAGAAAAATAAACAAAATGAACAAGGACTTACAAATATTATCCTTTGCCATAATGAATACTGCCATACCATGCTGAATATACCGGTTCCCGTTAGATCATCGAAGTCAAAGCATCATTGGGCGCGGTCAGTACTTGGGTGGGGTGACCACCTGGGAACACCGCGTGCCGTTGGCAAATTTGGGACCTGAATGGCCGAGTGTGTCTAGCGCTCGGTGCCACAGGTTTCGGGTTCGAATCCCAGCGGTGCCATGGATGTTTGTAGTGGTTCGAATCCACTTTGCCGTGGGTCCCGGTCTCCTATGACTGTAAGAGCGTCACGGAGCAAAAGTCAGGCTTCTACCTACGGGGGTGCTCCATCACAACAGAAGCTGCTTCCTTCCCCTTCAATCATGAGTACGTATGGGCTCGTGGGCTTGGCCAGCCAAATGGGATAAGAAACAACAAAACAACAACATAATGAACACTTATTTTGATACTTCAACTATTCCACAGTTCATTACATATTTCCTTGAAAAAAATTTTTTTTTGTTGGAGATGGAATCAAGTCCAGGTGCCGATTTAATTTTCGTGTTCTGGATGATGATGGTAATATTCGAAGGAGAAGTAGGAGGAATAATATCATCGGTGTTGTTCTGATAAAAGTTATTGATGGTTTGCATCACCGTGTTTTCATGGACAGGATCAGAAATCGGGTTAAGTGCTTATCGAGATTTTCTGCAATGAGTTCAACTTCATCTAAGTCTTTAATTGCAGTAAAAGGGTACTGTTGAGGTGAGGAATTTTAGTTTTAGAGCTTTTGAAGTTTTTAGGGAGATTCCAGAATGATCCATCATCTATTTGTAGGTCTTGTAGGTATTTTTCTTCCCATAATTTATCAGAATAGTCTTTGAAGGCTTTTTTTGATGTTTTTATTGATCCTATTAAGAATGGTTTTGTCGTTGGGGTGCCTTGAAATTTTCCAGGTTTTTTTTTTTTTTTTTTTTTTTTTTTTTTTTTTTTTTTTTTTTTTTTTTCCATTGTTGCGGATTTTGATGATTTTTTTGACGTTGGGGTGAATCCAATTATTTCTGTTGTTGTAAGGTTTTGAAGCATTTTTGAGCAGCCTAAAGGTCATCGATGAAATTACTGATTTTCAAATCCAGAGAATTAACAGAATTAATGATTGGTAAAGGTTGAGCATGTTTTTCGATGAGCAGATTAGTAAACAGTGTCCAATTAGTATTATTACTATTGTCCGGAGGAAGAATGTAGTTGAACCTGAAGGAGATTTCAATAGGATTATGATCTGAACTAAGTTCGTATAAAGATGTGATGTTGTATGGAAACAAGAAATTTTTTATAAGAGCAAGGTCTATAGTGGACGATGAGTTGTAGCCAAATCTTGTTGGAGTGATAGGTGCAATAATATCAAGATCAGTTTAATTAGCAAAAATTAAGGAGTTGATTGCCTCTTGGTCTATTTGTAGAGCAATTCCAGACCTGGTAATGAGCATTAAAGTCACCGCACATGATAATATTTTATCCTACTTGCATTATACTTTCAAGATCTAATGTGAACAGTTGAGGATCAGATGTAACTAGAACATATATAGATGCAATGAAAAATGGTATCCAGATTAGGAAGGTTTAAGGAGATAACAGTTGCTTCAATGTGCTGTAATGGAGGAGAAGGTATGTGGTGATAAGGAAGGTGGCAAATGAACGACGAACAGTAAATGCAATATCATATTTAGCTCGAAACGCGAATATTGCCAAATATAGTACACTTATTTTACTTACATGATGTAACCGAAATACTGCAATTTGATTGGTGGCTCTTTTGGGAGTACTTTTTTGCTCTCTAAGGTCTAGTCTCTAGAAGTACTTTTTACTGTCTAGGTTTTGTTAATTGCCATCTTTCGTAATTAATAATAGCGTATTCGTGTGTTAAAAATTTTATTTTGTGGCTTATCAAATTGTTCACATTAAAACAGAAAGGTAATTATTTGTTCATTAAAATATTATTCACTAACAGCAAACCGAATAACTAACAGCAACAATTTTGATTTACTTATTAAGAATGCATCTTAAGTACCATAATTTTCTGTTTATAATCTGCAGCACCGCATAATCCACAGGTACAGTTTTCGTCCAAAAAATTAAACGATGTGTAATCCGCGGGCGAATAGCGCCTTTTCCATAATTTGCAAGTAGGTGCCCATCAAGTTCTGTTTTTATATGCAGGGTTCAAGGAAAAAAAATAATAATAAAATAAGTCTTTCTCAGTTTAAAAGAGTGTTTTTGATTCCATAATTATATAAAAAAATTATATTATAAATTTAAAGTATTGAGAAATGAAAAGAAGACATTCATGTAAGAATTTTGTTGGAAACAAATGAGACTATATTTTTTCCAACAATTTGTAATCATCATATTTGCTAGAGAGATGGAAACCTTAATCATTATCACAATTAATTCTTAATTGTAATTATCATAAAAGTGCTTTTAATATTTATAACTTTATCACAAGCCTTTTCAAAATTTTTTATCACTTGCTGGGAGCAATTTAAAACATTTTTGTTGGTTTGCAGATCCTTTTAAAATTTAAATTAATTGAACTAATATCTAGATTACTGCTAGTAAAACATTTCTTTGACGAAAAATTAATTTTATCGGTGAAAATTTTTGATGAAATTCAACGTGTAACAACATTTTTAAAAAATGTTTAGAAAAATTATCATCTTGCCATGATTTAATTGTTAGGCGACAACTTTAATGAAATTTAAATAGTTAATGAATGAATAGATTAAACAAGTCTATTAATTAAACATCAAAATGTGGAGTGACCACCATGCAAGTATAAATATTTATAAATCACTTATAAAAAATGTATTAGGGGCAAACACAACACCATTTTGTATACACACTATTTAAATCACAGGCAATTGATTTTTAAAGAAATATGATTTATGTTTTTATACGAGGAGTAAAAGTAATATAATTTTTGGCAGTAAAATGACATAAAAACTAAAAAAAAAGTACATTGTATGGACATTAACTTTTGACAGTTTAACTCAGAATATATCATTTTTTATGTAGTACATTTAATGCAGAAATATTTCTTAGTAGTTGCATTTTTTTTTTTAAAAACATTAGTATTTTATGAAAAAGTAGTGCATATGCATAATATAAAAATTTTTCCCAATTACAGTCTTTGCTTTAAGCCATTAGTCATTATTGCATGTATCAGAGGTTGCCATTTTCTGATGTGAAAATTTTGATATGCTGTCGATTTTAAGGACATTATATTATAATATTATAATAAGGCAGACCAATAGAGGCATGATGCATTCCGCAGTCAATAGTGTTCTTTTGAAAATAAATAGTATAACATGAGCAAGAAAAATAATTGAGCAAATTTGCTAAGCATTATGAAATTAAAGTAAAATTGTAAAAATTAATTTCTGTATTGTAAAGTCAACTAGGGTAAGTTATTAGATAAATATTTGTACTAAATAAAGCTGCTAAAAAACCATTTGGGATTTCAAAATGTCTGTTAAATGTTAAGTCACTTAAAATATTTTTATGTCAATTTTATTAAAAATCAGTTTGTCAATGCCACTGGGTCAAAAATATGTACTATTTTTCTTTATAAGTTGATTCCTCATGGTTTATATAGTATGCAATATAAAACACCTACTTAATTTTGGTCACCATATATAATTATCTGTGATAAAAGAAAATGTCATCATCGAAAAAAAAAATGTGGTATATAGCAATAGTCACAAAGAATTTAAAATTTTAATTCAATAGTCCAATAAATTATCCCTTCAAAGAAACCTAGAAAACAATGGAAGCAAACTAAAATATTCTCAAACTTCACTGCACATGCCAATGAATGACATATCTCATATTTTGTTTATTTTTATGCTAGTTTGACTACCTTCCATCATCCATATTGTTATGTTTTCCTTCTTCCCCTTCATGAAAATTTGTTTACCTAATTTATCAAAAGTAATGGTAATATTCTGCGATACTTTTTATTCAGCTTTTATGAATGGCTTTGCTATCTTTTTTTTATAGTAACATTTTTTATTTATTGATTAGAGGAGGTTCTGCCAAAAAAATGAGTGAATCTGGAGATGAAGTAAACACAGAAGGTAAGTGTTTTTGCTAATTTCTTAAATGATAATGCTGCTAAAAGATAAACTTTAAATGTTACAAAATAGAAACATAAAGAATAAAACACAGTTAAATTGAGTTACATAATTATATTATTGCTTTTCAATAAGAAATTGAAAATAAGTAAAATTTAAATTAACTTCTTAGTAATATTCCAACACGGCAAGTTAAACAGTTTACAGAATCAAAGCAAGCATTATGAAAATAATTTCAATAAAAAAATGAAATTATTAGCAATACAAATAATTATTATGGATTAATGAATCTTTTGTTTAAAACATCTAGTGATAATTAAACACAATGCATATGCTCCAATAAGATAAACATAACATTTCCTCATTTTAGGCTGGAAATACTAGGCCATTCTTTTTTTAAAAGAAACTTCCTGTTTAAAGAACAAAGTGTGAGAATATAGAACATAGAATTGCTAGAGTCAATTATTAAATAATTCTATGTTCTGTATTCATAATAATGGCTGCAAATGAAGAGGTTCTTAATGTAGTGCTTTTTCTTTTCTATTTATTTTAAAACTTTGAACTCCATTTAAAAATTGCCTCTGTAATTAAGTGTAATAAATTTGTGATGCAAATTGTTTTTTACATTCTCAAATGTAATTAATATATATATATATTAAAATATTTAAAATGAAGTAATTAAAGTAAAATTTATTAGTAAATTTCAGTAGTAAAATTTATTAGTAAATTTTATTTATTATTAAATTAATTAGGATATTGTTATTACTTAAAAATTTTTTAGAACAAAATAATTTTTAATATTAATTTTTTTTATTTTATTTGTACCACAGAGGTAATCACTTACAGTAATTATAAAATATTATTTGTTTTCATTGTTTATGTTAATAAAACCAAAAGCATAATTTTTATAAATGAAGGTAGTTTATAATATGGTGCTTTTTTTTTTTATTATTATTTAAATAGAAATTTTCATTTCACACTAAACTAAGAACTTCACATAGATTAAAAAAAATATGATATATACATGATATATC